GCCCACTTCAAGATTTGTACCAAAACCTTTATAAACTAAACATGACGAAACTATTTACTTCTAAAACAATGTACTATCTCAAAAACATTTTAGATACATTCTAGTCGTAAAAAATACATATTTGAAATCACTTAGACCTATAACTAATAGAACATCTGAACAAATAAACAATGTGCGAATAAATGCGCGAAGTTAACAAAGCAACAATTGAAAGATTACCATTGGGTTACATCACCTTTATTTTTTATTACGGCTGAAATTCTTGGGGGCATAGTGTTAACCAAGTTTTGGTGTAAAACAATCCCATATTTCTTGAAGCTTTTGTCCCAGTTCGGTGATTGTACGAGCAGGATGTCGTAGAACCTTTTTCATCTCGTACCACAAAGTTTCAATAGGTGACAGATCTGGACTGCTAGAAACCCATTTCAAAAGTGGTACATTATTTTCTTTCATCCAGTTTATAGCCTTTTTTGAGGTATGGCCCGCTGTACCATCTTGCTGAAACACAAAATCTTGGCCGGATGTCAAACATTTCCATCAATAAAATGAAGACAGTCAACATGGAATGCTTCATTTTTTTTGCGAATAACTCTACTGCGACTGTCACCAACACAAACTTCGAATCGGGCCTCATCACTCCATTGTATCACACACCATTGTTGAGGTGTCCATTGTCTATGTTCTTTAGCACATCTAACCCGATTTTTCTTTTGCAGTGGAGTTAATAGTGGCTTTTGTTTGGCCTATAAACAAGTTGTGCAACTTTAGGGTTTTTACTTCACTTTTTTTTATAAGAAAACTTACCTTGCAAGTACTAAATCCCAGTTTGTGGGCCTCTCCATGAGTTGTGGACCTCGAAATTCTCCTTCCAACAGCGTCACTCCACAGAGCACTTAATTGTAAATAATTGGCACGCCTGTTTTTCACGATTATTCTTCTTAATGCTCTTCGGTCGACATTTGTGATATTACTTTTTTTCACATATCTTGGCTTAATATTAACTGAACCAGTTACGTTATATCTTCTAACAATATTTCTCACACTGTACGGCGATAAGTCTCACAAAGTTGTAATTTCTGAGTTTGATTTCCCAGAATTAAAAAATTTAATGATCAGTAACCGAATTTTCTCACTAATAACCTTTCCTCTACCCATTTTGCAAACCTTAACTACCCAAAACTATTTTAAACGTATTCTGACAGCTGTGATTAATAAAAACAATTGCCATGACGAAAATTATGGAGCTTCAAGAAGATGTCAACATTACCAAAGCTGTCACCATTTTAGATGCTGTAAATTTGCTTACTATCGCATGGGAATTGGTTACTCCAGAAACGACTCCTAATTGAAATTCCATTAAGTGATTTACTCAAAATTAATAGTTTACTGAATATAGACAAATTTAATGAGTATATAAATGTTGGCAATAATTTAATAGCAACACGGGACTCCAATTTGGTTAATGAAGGATCCGTCGATAGCGAACAGAAAGACGAACTAGAAAACAACGATGAAGAAGAGCTTCCAGCGACAACTAAGGAGGCATTAGAATGCGTGAAATAGTTGCAACGTTATTTTCAACAAGAAGAAGACGGTACAGCCACACTTAGCAAATTAAATAAAATTCAACTTGCTGCTCTAAATAATTATACAAAAAAAACAATCTGTTCAAATGAAAATTACTTGCTTTTTTACCAACTAATTTACGGTTTTTACACATACCTTTTTTTGTATGTACCTTTATTTATGTAATACATGTTAAACAAACACATTTTAAGCTTTTAATATGTTATTTCTGCTGCTTTTTCATTAAAAAAAGTGTTTCCTAATAAACTATTTGTTACAGTCCCGCCGACTCTATTATAAGCGGGTCGCACTGTACTTATCGTTAATATTTTTGTCTGGATGTAACGCATTAAACAGTAGTAGTTCTTGCAATGCTCCTGTTTTGTTATTTCTACCCTTTCTTGAACTGAATAAGCCATCGTTATATATGTATCACAACTAGTAGGTAACTTACGGATTTGAAATGAACGACAACATTTTTCTATGAGATACGATGACACTGAATGATACTAAATGTTTTTTTCCTGAAAAGTCATACAAAAAAGTGGGGGTGGATTTAGTCAGTGTATAGCGAACCACCCTGTACGACTATCAGGGATCGCACACGCTCATACCTAAAGAACAACATTCCCTTATCCCAACAAGCTAAGGATAGCTGCCTTTGTACCCAGCATGCCTGAATCACTTTAGAGTAACTTTTATTCGGTAAATTGATAGCCCGGACTATTGATTCCGGGGACCTACGGTTGTATTTTCGTCCGAGAGGCGGCCGTTATTTATTGGCGTCCTGCATCGTTGCGAGGGAGACACTGGAGAGCATTCCTGCATGGCAAAGGCTTATGGATGCACGTGCTTAGAAGATATTGAAGTGTCTTATGCCTGCACAGGACATGAGTGGATTTGCGTGACTGAAACTGAGATTCAGCTCCGGGAATTGAAAAAATTCCGCAGAGAAAAATGGCGTTTCTTTATGTTGTCACAGAAGTGTTCGAACCATTCTTATCGTCTTCAAATTAGGTGAAATAGCTATTTATACTAAGTGACATATAAATCCGAACACCCAGTTTAAATGGTTTTATTTTAATAAAATTTTGTATAAGTACTTAATGAAGCATAATAAGTAAATGATAAAAATTTCAAAATGATTGCACTGCTTTAAAGGTCTTTGACCTTTAATAATGTGTGGATGCACCCTGATGAGCTACGCATTCTCCAACGCGCCTAGGCATGCTTCTGATCAGGTGGTCAATGTCCTCCTGTGGTATCTCATTCCAGGCAACCACCAACTCCTCTCGAAGTGCTTCTAGAGTCTGAGGAGGACGTTGCAAATTGAGCAATCTCCTATCCATCATATCCCACACGTGCTCAATTGGGGATAAGTCGGGAGATCTTGGTGGCCATGGTAACAATGTGACATCATTATGTTGAAAGAAGTCTATTGTGACTCTTGCAACATGTGGTCGGGCATTATCTTGTTGGAAAGTTGGATCTGCCAGGGTGTCAAGATAGGGTAAAAGATGGGGTTCTAGAACTTCGTGGATATAACGCTGCGCGTTCATGTTACCTGTGATGAAGATTAAAGGTGACCTGGAACCATAAGCTATAGCACCCCAAACCATAACTCCAACAGTGTGATGAACATGTCTTTCAACAAAAAACTGTGGATTCCTCCTTTCACCACGTCGACTTCTAACCCTGGCACGACCATCGTGCATGCCTAAACAAAATCGAGACTCGTTACTAAAGACAATACTGTTCCATTCCTGATCCCAGAGTGACCGTTGTCTGCACCACTCAAGGCGATTACGTCGGTGTTCTCGAGTTAAAGGGAGCACCCAGTGTGGCCGGTATGAAAACAAGCCAAAACTTCTCATTCCTCGGTAAACACTTCGCATGCCAATAGGTCTTCCGTGTTCTGCAAACCATTCATTTGCAATGGACCTGGTAGTGGAGAAACGGTCCCTTAAGGCCAATAATCTTAGGCGGCGATCTTCACGGTCTGTTGTTCTACGGCGGCGTCCAGTGCCCCTTGCTCTTTGCGTACGGCCTTCTCGAAGCCATGCCTGACAACACCTAACCACAGTGTCTACACTTCTTTGCACTCTAACTGCAATTGCCCGAAAAGAAAGTCCAGCTTCCCGAAGTCCCACTATACGGCCCCTATCAAACTCACTAAGTTGACGAAATCGTACAGGTCTCCGTACTCTAGGCATCGTAACCGATCGTAAAGGCTGTCAAGAACCAAAATCCGCCAACGTTGATTCTTTACTGCGGCTGAAATATTCATTTTTAGAGCGTTAGTGAATTAAAAAAAAGCAGTATAAAAACCGGAATGTCCAACTGATAAGCCTGAAAATTTTTTCACTTGTTATTTACAGTAAGATAAATACATTCACCAACTTTTATTAAAATAAAACCATTTAAACTGGGTGTTCGGATTTATATGTCACTTAGTATATCTAGAATGAATTTTCTTTATAAACCCAATTTTATATAAGCATTCCTACAGGTTTTCCTAAAATTAGCAATGAAGAATTTTCTATTTACACTGGAAATATGTATCAGATTAATGCTTGAAAAACCATACATATTTACGAAAAATATTAGATATTTCATCAAAATATAAAATTGATATTTAAAAATCTTTCCTCATATATTTTCTAAATATTTGGAAAGAATATCACAAGATTATATGAATTATATACACTACAAACATCTATAAAAATATTTTATAAATATATAAGAAATATATTTATTGAATATTAAAAAATCTGTCGCTACAAATATTTAACAAACATTTTTTTAAAATATTTAATAAATATTTAATGCTATCGGGGAACCTTCGTTTCTTCGCGTTGTTTAAATGAATCCTATTTCAAACATAATTCCCACCCACTACAACTGGCTACTGGAATATGCTTTTCATAGAAAGGACAGTACGCCAATGTGTCGGATCTTCACCTTGGTAGGCAGATCTATTCAGAAATAAGCAATAAATCTATGTTATTTTAGCGAGAAACAATTCCTTGTAATCATACACGCTTTGCAATTCAAGTTCGTTGTCTAGTACAATTTGTACAAAACGACAAAAGCGTAAGCTTTACATCTCACTAAGAAGAGGAAAGGGAACATTTTATCTCTAGACTGTGTTACATCAGCGTGGAACGCCTTCAGCAAGTTACATCAGGGAGGTGGCTGCACAACTAAAACTTATCTTGCGTATCTGTTCTGGAACGGGAACGTATCCTCCCAGGAGCACCACACATCCCTCCTCTGGAAATTTCACAGCATCTGCTCCTGAATGTCTAATCAAGTTTGAGGGGGAATTTTCATACTTTAGCTAAAAGCTCGACTTATCGACCGAACTAAAACTAAAAAAGGTTTGTTCCTCAAAGAAGCTAATGATCAACACGATGAATCCTTATTTTCTCTTCCTACGAGCGATATCTTTTAAGTTTTGCATATAGAAACATAGTAGGCCGCGCGGATCGCATTGTATGCAGTTTTATCTTACCTTCCTCGCACCTCTGCCCGCCTCTCCCTAAAGGACACAAGCATACTGGTTCATCTTCAGCCTCGTCCAAACTGCAACCACCTCCTGGGCCACAGTCCAAAAGGCAGAGCTTCTGTTGCTTACTTAGCGAAATTGGCATCGTGACCTTAGGCACACCAGTGCCATCGGACGTCGCTTTTTGTTCTAGCCTATAATATAAAAATGGATCTAAGGAAACTGAAACGAATATCGAGCTTAAGAATTGGTAACCGCATACACAAAAAATGGCGTCAAATAGAATGACTCAATAATTTCCACAACTTCATTTAAATTTGCTAATTTCTAAGCGCTGACTAGATATGTTCACGTAAGCGGATTTCAATACCGCCAGATGCCGTCGATTCTGGAGGTATCCTAGTTATGTCGTATTTGCTAATAATTTCCCTCCTTTCACTGAAAAAAAAGACAAGTACTATTTCATGCAACCTCATAAAGCATAACAACGTTTATACATATTGAACAAAAAATAATTTCACGCACGGTTAAATACGGCAATATTGGTGAGGATAATGTACATATTTATTTTCATATATATTGAAGTTCGTTTATTGGGTAATAGGCATCAAGTTTTGAAATATTTATTTTAAATTTCAACCTTTGATTGAGTATGCAATTGTGTTTTCATGCTGCAGTTCGATTACAAAGCATACTATTATTATTCCTCGAAATAAATCCCTAAAATACACGTGGATGAAACGAGTTCACCTTTGAAAGTTTTATGAAATGAATAGTAAATTATACCTTCGAAATAATGTATCACGTAATAGCAGTAGATCTGAATACTTATTAATTTCTGGATCGTTGCGCAGCCCTTGTCAAATAGAAATTGGTTTTGATAATATCTGCATAGGCAAGTGAAAGCTTTGACGATATTACAGACCGCACGTACAGGGTGGCGCATCGAAAGCGAAACAGACGCATTCACTGGCAGCTTATATTTTTTTTGGAAAAACGCTCATGTATTTTACATCATTATAAAGGGAATTGAAGGACCTTTAAAATAAGGTATCACTCGACCCCCCTTTCCGTTTAAAATTTCAGGGTTGGTGTCACCCCCGCCCAGGGGGCTGCACGTGTTAACGTGATTTTTTGCCAAACTTGTCGACAACAAAATCGACGGGTTTGAGCGTTTTTCCAAAGAAATTCGATGCGCCACCCTTATTTTGAGTCCGTAATATCTAACCCGATGTACGCATCTTGCATTCAAGGCTGAGGATAATCCAACCTGCTAAAAATCTTTACCCTCCTACTAGTAAATATACTAAGTGACATATAAATCCGAACACCCAGTTTAAATGGTTTTATTTTAATAAAAGTTGGTGAATGTATTTATCTTACTGTAAATAACCAGTGAAAAAATTTTCAGCCTCATCAGTTGGACATTCCGGTTTTTATACTGCTTTTTTTTAATTCACTAACGCTCTAAAAATGAATATTTCAGCCGCAGTAAAGAATCAACGTTGGCGGATTTTGGTTCTTGACATCCTTTACGATCGGTTACGATGCCTAGAGTACGGAGACCTGTACGATTTCGTCAACTTAGTGAGTTTGATAGGGGCCGTATAGTGGGACTTCGGGAAGCTGGACTTTCTTTTCGAGCAATTGCAGTTAGAGTGCAAAGAAGTGTAGACACTGTAGTTAGGTGTTGCCAGGCATGGCTTCGAGAAGGCCGTACGCAAAGAGCAAGGGGCACTGGACGCCGCCGTAGAACAACAGACCGTGAAGATCGCCGCCTAAGATTATTGGCCTTAAGGGACCGTTTCTCCACTACCAGGTCCAGTGCAAATGAATGGTTTGCAGAACACGGAAGACCTATTGGCATGCGAAGTGTTTACCGACGAATGACAAGTTTTGGCTTGTTTTCATACCGGCCACACTGAGTCCTCCCTTTAACTCGAGAACAACGACGTAATCGCCTTGAGTGGTGCAGACAACGGTCACTCTGGGATCAGGAATGGAACAGTATTGTCTTTAGTGACGAGTCTCGATTTTGTTTAGGCATGCACGATGATCGTGCCAGGGTTAGAAGGCGACGTGGTGAAAGGAGGAATCCACAGTTTTCTGTTGAAAGACATGTTCATCACACTGTTGGAGTTATGGTTTGGGGTGCTATAGCTTATGGTTCCAGGTCACCTTTAATCTTCATAAGAGGTAACATGAACGCGCAGCGTTATATCCACGAAGTTCTAGAACCCCATCTTTTACCCTATCTTGACACCCTGGCAGATCCAACTTTCCAACAGGATAATGCCCGACCACATGTTGCAAGAGTCACAATAGACTTCTTTCAACATAATGATGTCACATTGTTACCATGGCCACCAAGATCTCCCGACTTATCCCCAATTGAGCACGTGTGAGATATGATGGGTAGGATATTGCTCAATTTGCAACGTCCTCCTCAGACTCTAGAAGCACTTCGAGAGGAGTTGGTGGTTGCCTGGAATGAGATCCCACAAGAGGACATTGACCACCTGATCAGAAGCATGCCTAGGCGCGTTGGAGAACGCGTAGCACATCAAGGTGCATCCACACATTATTAAATGTCAAAGGGCTTTAAAGTAGTGCAATCATTTTGAAATTTTTATCATTTACTTATTATGCTTCATTAAGTACTTATACAAAATTTTATTAAAATAAAAACATTTAAACTGGGTGTTTGGATTTATATGTCACTTAGTATAATTGAATGAAAGAAGTACCTTTGACAACAGGTAAGAAATTGTAGACATCTAGCCGATACTTACCTAGGTCCCTGAGTAGTGTAGTTTGTAGACGGTGCGGTGGTGGTGAAATTTGAGACGTAGTTAGGGATATCGTTTGACTCCCGTTGAGGTATCTCATTGGACTCCGTGTTGTTCAGGGAAACTTCGACAGCGCTGATAACGGCGTCATTTTGATACAAAATGTCCTCGAAGCTGTTCAGCTTCAGCTCCTCTAAAGATGGAGGAGATGCTGTCGAGTTTATCTCTGTAAAGAAAATATTCAGGTAAGATCACTGATCAACAGCCAAAAAATATCCTAAATAGAATCAACAAAATATTACTATTTTTAATGTGCTAAAATCGGAATGAAACTTATTTTTTCAATATCAGTTCAAGTTTTAGAGATACGGTAATTATATGTGTTCCTGCTGTGACAGTGTTAATATACTGTAATTCACAAGAATGCACGTGCTACATTTTTATATTCGGCAAGGAAAGATGATGTAATCGGCATGATTGTGTTACGCTATACATACGTGTACATTATATTGTTTTATATTAGCCATTTTTTCCTCAGTTGGCTGACAGCGTTCATGCAAGATGTCTCGAAAGTGTGTAAACAATCCAGATCAGTTTTGTTACGTGTGTGGTGATGTGACTTTTGCGTCTCAGAGACGGTCTATTACTCCACTAATAACAAAGGCATATCAACTTTATTTCGGTTGTAAACTAGGTGATCAAGACAAACAGTGGGCACCCCACATCTGTTGTAATACATGTGCTTCAAGTCTGACGAGCTGGTTAAATGGCAAAAAACGGTCTATGCGCTTTGCTGTTCCAATGGTTTGGAGAGAGCGTACAAATCATATTAATGATTGTTACTTTTGCATGGTACCTTGTGTTGGACAAGCCACCGGTATGTCCAAGAAATAAAAAATCGGTTATTAACTACCCAAACATACCATCTGCGATGAGACCTGTGCCTCACAGTGACGAAAATCCTATTCCAAAACCCTCAGAATCCTACACTTGCGAATCAGAAAACGAATCAGATCATGGCGATCGAGTGATTCGTCAGGAAGAAGATATGCCATCAACGACAAGAGATACTGATTTTATACCGAGCACGTCATGCCACCAACCGCACAAAATAACACAGTCAGAATTAAATGATCTTGTAAGAGATTTAGAACTTCCAAAATGTAAGGCAGAGTTACTTGGATCAAGACTGCAGCAGTGGAACTTGTTAGAAGACGATGTTTCGGTATGTGTTTTTCGTAAACGCCACAAAGACTTAGAACCATTTTTCAATATGGAGAATAACTTGGTTTTCTGCAGTAACATTAACGGCTTACTGGCGGCTTTAAATATGAACTATAACCCAGAAGAATGGAGATTGTTTATAGACAGTTCAACATTGAGTTTAAAGGCAGTGTTATTGCATATTGGAAATATTTAACCATCTCTTCCTGTAGGGTATGCAGTTCACATGAAAGAATCATATGACAATATGAAGTACCTATTGACATGCATAAAATACGATGAGCACCAATGGCATATTTGTGGCGATTTGAAAGTTGTTGCACTTTTACTTGGGCTGCAGCTAGGCTACACAAAGTTTTGCTGTTTTTTGTGTGAATGGGACAGTCGGGCAAAGGCACTTCATTACACCAGACAAAACTGGCCTGTTCGTCGATTCCTAGAGCCAGGTCAAAAAAATGTACACCCTATGCCATTAGTAGATTCGAAAAAAATTTTATTACCACCACTGCATATCAAGTTGGGCCTAATGAAAAGCTTTGTCAAGGCATTAGATAGAAATGGGTCAGCTTTTCAATACCTGCGTCAGAAATTTCCAAGACTAAGTGAGGCAAAGGTTAAAGAAGGTATTTTTGTTGGGCCACAGATTCGAAATATTTTGAAAGATACACAGTTTGAAAACACTTTAACAGGTATTGAAAAAATTGCTTGGAATGATTTCCGTCTGGTCGTCACTAATTTCTTGGGAAATAGAAAAGCTGACAACTATAAAACGCTTGTCAAGAATATGCTGTCATCGTATCAAAAGATGGGCTGTAATATGTCTCTTAAGATACATTTCCTACACTCACACTTTTTTTCCTGAAAATTGCGGAGCCGTAAGTGATGAGCACGGCGAACGTTTTCATCAGGATATTTCAACAATGGAAAAAAGGTACCAGGGAAAGTGGAATCCTTCCATGCTTGCAGACTACTGTTGGACTCTTGGCCGAAATGCTCCAGAAACGATCCATAAAAGAACAGCAAAAAGACAGCGCATATAGTGATCCTTATAAGAATAAAAAGTTTTTTTTCTAAACCGCAACTAATTTTTTTATTTCATTGTCATTTTTGGATTCAGCGCCCAAAAATTAACAAAGAAGTGCACTTTTCCCACAAGATACAATTAAAAAACTAAAATTTGTTGTCCATAATAGACGTGCTACGTAACAACGCGCGCTGCTATACATGGGCGGCGCGAAAACTTTGTCAAGGGGAGCTCAATGAACAAAGCTCCCCTTCTCAAGAAAATGTGTCTAAGTATGATGGAGTATTTTCCTTACCGTAACAACTATATCCGTCTTCTCTCAGCAAATAACCTTCTTTACAATCGCACTCATACATTCCGTCGTGCAGTTCATAGCACAGTTGTTCGCATGGGCTTCCATGGTCACAACGACCTGCAACAAAATAAAAATTCTTATTGTATTTGTTAAGCGATTTTCCATTATATCCTATTCAATATCATTAAAAAGGCAAACAACTGGAAAGGAAAATAGAGCAACAAATTTTTTGGTGCCACCAGATACCAGAAAGTTGGATAATGGACATCCTCAGTGCATTTCGAAATTCTAAGAAATTTCAAAATTTTCAAACTTCTCAAAAGTGTCAAACTCTTCAAAATTTTCGAAATTTCATCATGTTTGGTGTTTCAACTTCGATCCTCACCATTGGGATATTGGAAACTGTGAGAGATACGACGTCGTCGCTTAAATTTACGTAATTAAAAAATGCCACAGAAACTTACGACATTCAAAGTATACTTTATCTGAAGTCACTTGAAACACTGTGCGTTTTATATATCTATATGTATATTTAACACGCTCTGTTGCTGCAAAAATCGCCAAATGTCGCAGCAAATATCCCCCGTATAAGATCAAAGGCAGTTTCACCGGTCCACGTGGAGTAAAGCACGCCTATGCGTGGACATAGCCAATGAGAAAGCGTGTATAACAAGTGCAGGTGGCTACTGAAAATTGAAACAGTTTAGCCAGTGCCGCGTAGCGGTGAATAAACGTGTTTTCTTTAGTCTGTCCATATTTTTTCATAGATTTTATTAGTTTGTGTGTTTTTGACTTTTGAATACTCAGTTTACTTGTTGATTTAATTGTTGTGTTGATTGTTCTTGTGTGTCCTAAATATGGCTCTTTGGAGACCTTGGGAAAATGCTCCAAGCCACGAGGAGATGGTTGATGAACCTGTGCAGGCAGAATTCTTTCATAAAGATTTAGAGGAACAGACCCAAAGAGTAATCCTAAATATGTATGATTGTCTGAAAAACGAAAATCCAGATTCCTCGCAAAATCAAATTTTAAACAGAATTTGTATCCTCGGTCTTCCATTTATCGGGTTATAAAAAGGGGAGATGTAGTCAACCATTCCTTCCACAGAAAGCGCATAGGGCAAACATTAAAAAGAATAGACGTGGGTTTTCAGGAAGATATTCGTCGTATAATATACGGATTTTATAAAGAAAATTTGATGCCCACGTTGGAAATGATACGGGATAAATTAAAAGATTATCCTGAAGATTTTTATAATTACAAATGCTTAGACTCACTGCACTGTATTGTAAAACTGTGTGGTTTTCAATACAAAAGATTAGATAAAAGAATGGTGATTATGGAGTCGTCTCGAATCGTTGAATTGCGCCAAGAATTTTAGCACAAAGTTAAAATCTATAGAGAGCAGAAAAGAAATCTGATTTACCTGGATGAAACGTGGTATGATACCCATGATGTTGTGCAGTACGGCTGGGTTGACGACAGCAACAAGTGCATTTTTAAATGCACCATGCAACCGTGGAAAACGAATCATTATTCTCCATGCTGGCAGTGAAAATGGATTTATACCTAATGCCTTGCTGTTATCTGCCAAAAATATCAAAGAATCATGTGCCGACTATCATGAGGACATGACCTCCGACTTATTTGAAAAGTGGATAGAGCAGCAGTTAATACCAAACATTTCCCCAAATTCAGTGATTATTATGGACAATGCGCCATACCATTCCCGACAGAAAAACAAAATTCCGAATACAGGCACAAAAAAACAAGACATTATTGATTTTATGAACGATAAGGGAATGGAAATACCACAAAAATCAACCAAAGCCATATTATTGGATCTTATTAAAAGACAAAAATTTGAAAAAGAGTATGTTGTTGACAATCTGCTTCAGCAAAATGGCCATGAAGTATTACGTCTACCTCCCTATTACTGCATTTTTAACCCGATTGAGTTGGTCTGGGCTGCTTTAAAAAAAAAATTAAGAAAACATAATCAGACCCCTCAATTAAGTGAATCGCTATTGGCCACAATAAGAGATGCAGTTTCTCATATTGCTGCCACAGACCTATGGAAGCAGTGTTCTAGGCATATTATTGAAAAAGAAAATAAATATTGTGTTTTGCCTCCGTTGTAATTCCTCTACAAGATGACTCTAGCGACAGCTCCGAAGGCGAGGATGATATATAAATACCTATAATGTAAGTCTTTATATACCTTTTTATATACCTACCTGCTATGTAAATATTTGCCTATGTCAAACGTTGGAATTCTGTAATTTTTCCATTTCTTAACTTTCAGTCAACATAAATTAAACTCCCTATATAAGTATTTTTTATCCCAAATCAAAAAAATAAGAAGATAGTAAAATCCATTTATTGTGATATAAAAACATTATTATTATCGTTCTAAATGAATGACCGCACGCCTATGATACGTCATGAAATTACAAAGGACGCGCCGACCAAAGGTTTTTATGCTATTTCAAGTGACTTCAGATAAAGTATACGTCTTTTAAGTTTTGCATATAGAAACATAGTAGGCCGCGCGGATCGAACGTCAGTACTGAATCTTAACCTCACTCTTTAGTAAACTTAAATTCAAAGTTTCACAACAATATGTGCAGTGTTCTAACTACAGTGAATTTTGAAGTGTCACCAAGTCATTAGAAAAATGGAACTCAACCGAGAACATTTTCGCATTCACAACTTTCAGAGACAATTATCGCAACAAGAATGCCTTGCTGAGTTACTGTCTGTTTTCGGCAACGAAGCGCCACATCAGTCGAGAATTTCAGAGAATGTACAGAATTTTCAAAATTTTCATTGTTAAAAATTTCAAAGGCTTTCCAAAACTTGGGTTTTTCAAAAATTTCAGGATTTTCAAAATTTCAAAAATTTTCATGGTTCCTAACATTTTCAAAATATTCAAAATAATCAAAATTTTTAAAAATTTCAAACTTCTCAAAATTTTAGAAATTTCATGTTTGGTGTATCAAATTCGACGCTCACCACTGGGATCTGGGAAACTGTGAGAGATAAGACGTCGCTTAAATTTTCGTAATTAAGAAATGCCACAGATAGTTACGAAATTTAAAGTACCTACTTGAAATTGTCAAAATTTACACAATTGTTACGATTTTTTAAAGTTTTCAAAATATTCAAGATTTTTCAATACCTTCAATTTTTTTTTAAATTTCCGAAATTTTTGAAATCTAAAACACCAAAATTTAACAAAATTTTCAAAACGTCTAGTTTTTTCAAATTTTTCATTGTTCAACATTTTCTAAATTTCAAAGACTTGAGTTTTTCAAAAATTTTAATGATTCTTAAAATTTTCAGAATTTTCAAAATTTTTGAAATTTTCGAAATTTTCAAAATTTTCAAAATTTTAAAAATTTTCAAAATTCTGAAAATTTTCAAGATTTTTTCAGTATTTTCAAAATTTTCTAAATAATCAAAAGTTTCTAAATTTTCCAAATTTTCAATATTTTCAAAATTTTCAAATACATATATCGTAAGTTTTCAAAATTGTTATCCATGTATCCCCCTATAGCCCCACGGTACCCGATGGGTGCTTAGGCCTGAGGCCAGTAGTTGGAGTATAAAAAAAATCATTTAAATTACACATACTTTCAAGATGAAGGCTCAAAGTGGGAGTTTCATTTATGTTGAAGTTTTTATTATTTTCCATTTAAATAAACAATAAATTACCATTTTAGAAACGAAGCGCCATAACAGGTGAGAATTATGCACATACATACGGGTATGTACATCCTAATTTTGAGGTATTTCGTACGCTAAACTGAATATAACATAGTTAACATTTATCCATTAGTATTCATTTGTCTGACACGAATACCGGCATATCTCTATAAATAGCTGTCGCAAATTAGAGCCAGCAAGATCCAAAATGTCAGCGTGTCGCTAAGCATGAACAAAATAGAGCTTTATGACCCAATGTAGGCGGCCTTAAAATATAATACGGCAAAATGGTAATTAACTTCTGGAGTTATGAAAAGTTATTTATAGGTTGGAACAGTCAATATCACGAAAAAATTCTTGTCTAAGTAGAGCTTAAAATTTCATAAAACAATTTTATTGTTATAAAGTCAAATTGATCTGTTGCAATTCCTAAATGCCAGGTAATTATGTTAAGAACATACGTTCACTACAGAAACAGCATAAATGAAGAAACCTACTTGAAAAATATAAAAATCGAATGATGCACATAACCTTGCAATATGATTTTACTTCCCACGCCTACTGGCGAGGAAATATTGTAATCACAAAAATTTTGGAAAATGAGATTATGTTTCTTGGATGATATATGACATTATACGTTACGAAAAAAGATGCCACTCATGTCATTGGAATCAGAATTAATCATCTACGCAAAAATAAAATATGACGTCCATAATAAAAAATAAAGTTGATGCTGGAGGACGAAACGTCATTGTCATATTGAAGTTCTATGCTATCTTGTAGAGAAAAAGTCGCAATATTAATGTGCAATTTATCTTAAAATTCCACCTTAAATAAAAGGTAAAAGTATTTTGAGAAAATTCTGAGAAAATTTGAGAATTTTGAAAACGTTAAAAATTTTGAAAATCTTAATTCTTTGAAAATTTGAATATTTTGAACGTCAAGAATTTTGAAAATTTTGTTGAATTTGATTGTGTGAATTGCTATATATTTTTATAATTTTAGAAATTTTGGATATTTCGAAATATTGGAAATTTTGAAAATTGTGAAAATTTTGATGAAAACGAAAATTTTGAATATCGAAAATTTTGACAAATAAAAATTCTGAAAATTTTGGAAGTTATGAAAATTTTGAAGTATAATGAAGTTAAATTCGACAGTTAAATTCTTAAAATCTCTTATTTAGGTACTACTGAACTGGTGGATATGAGAATGCCTCCTGAAAAAATCAAATTGCGCGACATGAAGTTTTTTCAAAATGGACGTTTTTTTTCAAAACTACCACCATTCTCCATTGTGAGGTGTGTGAGGGATAAAAATCGACCTGGCTATTTTACGACTCGGAACACTGGAAACTACCGGACGGCGAATTGAAATAAAACATAAATATAATGACCCTCCGGTCGGTATTTCGGG